CGAGAAATTTGTGCTAGATAAATGTCAAGCCTGTTATTCACAAAATCCCGGTTCTTCTGATAATAATTTAGCATTTGAAGAATTGACAAAATATATTAGTCGATCGCAATCTCAGTGTGATGAAAACATTGATGTGTATAAATGGTGGCAAAATTCGAAACATGAATTCCCACTCTTGCAAGGGAATATTTGCCTTTGGTGTCAGATAAAGTTCAATTAAATAATCTTAATAAATTTATAGAAGTTTACAAAAATGATGATATGATAGACAAAACAGCTTTTCTAGATTATAACATGAAGCACATTAATCTCTGATAGCAAATTATTATTTATATACTGTATATATCGATATAGCTATCGTTATTGAGTAAAATATTGTTTAATTACGTTATTACAATTAGACAAAATCAAATGAAATGAAATTAGTGGATTCAGATTCATTTTTATGAGTATGGATTATCAGACACGAACGAATAGAGAGCATTTAATTAGCAATGATGTTTTTAGGCTTTCGTGTAAGGATAATATCTAATAAATATACATATCAAAACTTAATTATTATTGGGAACGTAGGATTCAAGTCTAGAAGTAATCATTTCTTTTTTATTAAATTTGCTTAATACAGTAATAAAACTAAACATGATTATTATATGAACGACACAGATCTAAATCTTTATTTTTTTTTTTGTCATGAAAAATAATTCTACAGTACATTAATCATGTTTATTGTTAATATTAATATAATAATATTTTTCAAAAATAAATATCTACTCATACTATCTTCTTTATATCACGTTTCTCAGTTTTTATTCATATCTTTTCGTTTTATTAGAGCTTTAGCTATCGGGTTCAATTTCAAGAAGTTTTTTTTTTTTCTGATTTAAGTTTTAATATTCGATTTCAGTTTGTTCGAAATACAGTGTTGTGCTAACAATAATTAAGAGATTATAAGATTAGTTTAGTGCTAACCTTTTTTTTTTTTTTTATTCGCTGTGTATAATAATAATCCGCTTATCTTCTAATCTGAACGTACATGTCACGTGGTATTTCCGAAATTATAGCATGACTGTTCTTTAATGCAGCTAGGGATGGTGTAATAATTATTCTCAGTATTATTAAAATGTGCTTTCAATAGCATAAAACTTGATTGTCCCAATTGATTTTACAGTATTAAGAAAAAATATGCTTTCAATTCATAGTAGGTCATTATTTATTCAGTTTAAAGTACAATTTCAAAAAAAAAGGGTTATTAATAAACTCTTTTTGAAAAAGGTTTAATAGTGACTTCATTTATCCGTTTCTGAGAAACTGCTATTACGCTAACTTATTTAAAAAGATATTGTTAATAATAGAGTCCTACAACTCTAATAAAACTTACCACATAATTCTTATTTTATTGTTTTTCGAAATTGTACTTCAAATTGTATAGCGATAGATAATGCTTCAATTGAAAATATTAGCCAATCATACGAAACGCTGACTGATATAGTTCTTTTTCGATTGTCAGTTATCAATAATAATATTTAGATATGTGACCGTATTTTCAATTTAAAATATTAAAAATTTTTTCTGCATTAGCAGAACCCAGTTGCATTTTGCACAAGGGCAGAGCAGGGGTTGTTGATTTTTTAAGATCATTTAACTGTCCAAATCACAGATTTCTGATTATTAATACTTGATCAAGCATTAACATCCTTATTTCTATATTTTAAAACCATTTTGGACATTACTATATGTTTCAATCGGATCAAATGCTCACACTGATTTAATACGTATATAGCTTTTTTTTTATATTGGTCAGCCATTCACCGTTGTATTTATACAATTCAGGGTACTTTTTCT